AAACAGCCCCGGGCCATAGTCCTTGCTATTTGGCAGTTATTTAATATTTTCCCAACATAAAATTTTAAAAGTTATAGCCTAAAATGTATTAATTATACCCCAGAATATAATATTTATACCCTAAATATTTTAATATACTATTACCCAAAATATATTAATTATACCCCAGAATATGATAGTTATACCCTAAAATATATTAATTATACCCCAGAATATAATAGTTATTCCTTAAAATATATTAATTATACTAGTTATACCCAAAATATATTAATTATCCTCGAGAATATAATAGTTATACCCTAAAATATATTAATTATACCCCGGAATACATTTGTTATACCCAAAAATATATTAATTATACCCCAGAATACATTAGTTATACCCAAAAATATATTAATTATACCCCAGAATACATTAGTTATACCTTAAAATAGCAGTAGTTATACCTGGGGCAGCTGGTGGCTAGCAGACTACTAACCTGGGCAACTAGTACCAGCCTGACAGGACCTGCTACTAGGATTGAAGACCAGGTTGGTGCCACAGAGATGGGTGAAACCACGCCCTGCCCAGCACGAAACGTAGCGGTCACAGTGACTGCCATCTGGGAAGTTACCGAAAGGTGCCAGGCACCTGGGGTCGGTCAGTGCCTGTAAGGGGAAGTAGATGAGTCAGTGCCTGTAAGGGGAATTAGGTGAGTCTTTATGGGAAAGTAGGTGAGTCAGTGACTAGAAGGGGAAGTAGGTGAGTCAGTGGCTGTAAGGGGTAGTAGGTGAGTCAGTGACTGTAAGGGGAAGTAGGTGAGTCAGTGACTGTAAGGGGAAGTAGGTGAGTCAGTGACTGTAAAGGGAAGTAGGTGAGTCAGTGACTGTAAAGGGAAGTAGGTGAGTCAGTGACTGTAAAGGGAAGTAGGTGAGTCAGTGACTATTTTCTGACTAGTGACTATTGCCTACTTAGTGACTATTTACTATTCAGCAACTAGGTGCTACACCTAGGTGTATCACCTAGGTGCTACTGTGTGCTACAACTAGGTGCTACATCTAGATGCTACACACAGTAGGTACTATACCTAGGTGCTACTCACTAGTTACTACATCTAAGTACTACACACTAGGTGCTAGCACCTAGGAACTTCACCTAGGTGCCACCACTTAGGAACTTCACCTAGGTGCTAGCACCTAGGAACTTCACCTAGGTGCTAGCACCTAGGACATACCAGGTGATCACTGCACCAGTTAACTACCAGAGCAAGTGGTGCTTAACCTGAGCGGCGGGGCCCAGGAGCTAGCGCCCAGCCGGACGACTGCTTGGCCGCGCTCCCGTAACTACCGTCTCACCTTCCTGCTGCTGGCCTCCAGCTCCCGGCACCGTGACACTCAAGGCTGTAGCTGCTGGGCAGGAGTCGAACCCTTGACTTAAGGTCTCTCTCTCTCCTCTCCCCTCTCTCTCTCTCTCTCTCTCTCTCTCTTTATTGTTATGAGACATACAAGTAGGGAACATGATGAAGTTGGAGCCATCTGTGGGCCAGCTGTGGGTCAGCATGGGCCAGCTGTGGGCCATCTATGGACCAGCATTTTCATTTGATCAACTGACTTTATCTCGTTGACATCATTATGCTGTACGAATGTGTTCCATACTCGAGTCATCCTGGGTATATATGATCTCAGATGGAGTGATGTTCTGGAGAAGGGTACAGCCAGAGTGAAGTTGCTGCTGGCTGCCCGTCTGTGGTATAGAAGCTTGTTTCACGCTGTCCTCGAAGTGGATCCAAGTGTGGTACTTTGACAATATTGGCCTTGTACATAACAGTAAGGCCACCCACATCCCTCCTGTGTTGAAGGCTCTGCTGAAATAACAGATCTATCCAGGATGGGTCCAGGCGAGAGATGAGACGTCTTGCTCTGTTCTCTACTCTGTCAAGCAGTCGTAGATGAGAGGGGGTGGGGGAGGCAAACCAAGAAAGTGGAGCATACTCAAGGTGTGAGCGTACTTGTGCCTCGTACAGAATCTTGCAACCTCTACTGTCAAGCAGATGCGAGATATATCGAAATGCTGTAAGCTTCCTGGCTGCTTTGTTTGCAAGATTTACAACGTGGTTCTTCATGGTCAGTTTGGAGCCAAATTTCACCCCAAGGATATCAACTTCTTCTCCAGGTACCAACATCCTCCCATTCATCCTTACTACTGCACCAGCATTACCATCATGGTGCCTAGAGACCATCATCATTTGCGTTTTCTCAGGTGCAAATGTTACTTGCCATCTATTTCCCCAAGCTGATATAGCTCTCAGCTGGTGACTGATGTAGCTTAGAGCAGCTGGCATTTCTTCTCTTAGATAAGTGAATGTCAGTGTACAGTCGTCTGCATATGCATGTGATTCTGGGATGAGATGAAGAAGGTCGTTGACGTAGACATTCCATAACAATGGACCCAGCACGCTTCCTTGTGGAACACTTGCCCCAATAGGATGTCTTGCTGATTCTGTTCATTGAGAACTACACTTAGAGATCTACCATGAAGGTAATCACTGAGGAGACATAGTATAGAGCCTGCAGTTCCCAGTGCTTGAAGTTTTGCTAAGAGGCCCTGGTGCCACACCTGGTGGAAAGCGCCAGCAATGTCCAGTGCCACCACACAGCTGACTTTGGATTCATCCAGTGACTGGTGCCACTTAGTGGAGAGGTTTAACAAGAGATCAGCAGCAGAGTAACCTTTCCTGAAGCCTTATTGACGATCACAAAGTAGTGAGTGGTAGTCCAACAACTCTGTCTTGAGATTATTGTCTCAAGGATCTTACCAGTGATTGACAGCAGTGACACTGGTCTGTAGTTGCTGATTTCTGCTCTGATCTTCTTTTTGTGAACAGGGACTCTCTCTCTCTCTCTCTCTCCTCTCCTCTCTCTCTCTCTCCTCTCTCTCTCTTCTCTCTCCTCTCTCCTCTCTCTCTCTCTCTCTCTCTCTCTCCTCTCTCTCTCTCTCTCTCTTTCTCTCTTTCTCTCTCTCTCATCCTCTCTCTCTCTTTCTCTCTCTCTCTCTCTCTCTAGAGAGAGAGAGAGAGAGAAGCAACTATTATTATTATTAAGGGCCAGTTTTATGGTGATATACACTGAGAGGTGTATATCTCAGTGTATATACACTGTGAGGTGTATATCTCAGTGTATATACACTGAGAGGTGTATATCTCAGTGTATATACACTGAGAGGTGTATATCTCAGTGTATATACACTGAGAGGTGTATATCTCAGTGTATATACACTGAGAGGTGTATATCTCAGTGTATATACACTGAGAGGTGTAATCTCAGTGTATATACACTGAGAGGTGTATATCTCAGTGTATATACACTGAGAGGTGTATATCTCAGTGTATATACACTGAGAGGTGTATATCTCAGTGTATATACACTGAAGAGGTGTATATCTCAGTGTATATACACTGAGAGGTGTAATCTCAGTGTATATACACTGAGAGGTGTAATATCTCAGTGTATATACACTGAGAGGTGTATATCTCAGTGTATATACACTGAGAGGTGAAATATCTCAGTGTATATACACTGAGAGGTGTATATCTCTATGTATATACACTGAGAGGTGTATATCTCAGTGTATATACACTGAGAGGTGTATATCTCAGTGTATATACACTGAGAGTGTATATCTCAGTGTATACACACTGAGAGGTGTATATCTCAGTGTATATACACTGAGAGGTGTATGTCTCAGTGTATATACACTGAGAGGTGTATATCTCAGTGTATATACACTGAGAGGTGTATATCTCAGTGTATATACACTGGTAGTTAAATTAATCAGTATTTTAGGTATTACAAGTATTCTTGACTGGTGGTGACCAGGTGACCTGCAGCCTTAATGACCCTGGTGTAGTAGATAGACTTTAAACCCCATTAACCAACCAACCAGTCTTAATGACCCTGGTGTAGTAGATAGACTTTAAACCCCATTAACCAACCAACCAGTCTTAATGACCCTGGTGTAGTAGATAGACTTTAAACCCCATTAACCAGCCAACCATCTTAAGGCCCTGGTGTAGTAGATAGACTTTAAAACCCCATTAACCAACCAACCAGTCTTAATGACCCTGGTGTAGTAGATAGACTTTAAACCCCATTAACCAATCAACCAGTCTTAATGACCCTGGTGTAGTAGATAAGACTTTAAACCCCATTAACCATCCAACCAGTCTTAATGACCCGGTGTAGTAGATAGACTTTAAACCCCATTAACCAACCAACCAGTCTTAATGACCCTGGTGTAGTAGATAGACTTTAAACCCCATTAACCAACCAACCAGTCTTAATGACCCTGGTGTAGTAGATAGACTTTAAAACCCCATTAACCAACCAACCAGTCTTAATGACCCTGGTGTAGTAGATAGACTTTAAACCCCATTAACCAACCAACCGGTCTTAATGACCCTGGTGTAGTAGATAGACTTTAAACCCCATTAACCAACCAACCAGTCTTAATGACCCTGGTGTAGTAGATAGACTTTAAACCCCATTAACCAACCAACCGGTCTTAATGACCCTGGTGTAGTAGATAGACTTTAAACCCCAGTAACGAGCACACACAATCTATTGAATTTCTTACGTATATATATATATATATATAATATATATATATATATATATATATATATATATATATATATATATATATATATATATATATATAGTTGTATAAAAGAAAAGGGTTTAGAAAATGGTGGATAGAGGGTGGTTTTCGGGGCTATATAGATAGGACGAGGAATCAACTTGATGGGAGTGTCTTGAGGAAGGGGAAATAAATGATGGTCCGGGGATGCGTGCCCTAGGGAAACCGTGGGCCATGGAAAATTTTCAACTGTTATTCCAGCAATCTGGCCATAATCAACTTTTAAATGTTTTTAATAAAAATTGGTCCTATATCAACTGTACTGTTACTTAAAAAACCTGGTCCATTATAAACTTTACTTTTACAGCAATCGGGTCCCATATATCAACTGTTATGTTACTAAAAACTGGCCCTTTTATATCAATGTTACTGTTACTAGCAATTGGTCCTTATACAACTTTACGTTACTAAAAATTTGGGCCCAATTCAACCTGTTACTTTTATAGCAATTGGTCCATAATCAACGTTACTGTTACTAAATCTGGTCCAAATTAAAATGTTATGTTACTAGCAATTTGGCCCAAAATTTTTCAATGTTACGTTACGAAATTTGGTCCTTTATCAACTGTTACGTTACTAGCAATTTGGCCCTTATTCAACTGTTCGGTTACTACAATTTGGCCCCTTATTAAGTTACTTTACAAAATTTTGGGGTTTTTATATCAACTGTTACTGTTACTAGCAATTGGTCCTTTTATCAACTGTTACTGTTACAAATTGGGTCCTTATATCAACGTTACTGTTTAGAAATTTTGGGTCCTTTATAAAACTGTTACTGTTATTTGCAATGGGTCCAATATCACGTTACGTTACTAAAATTGGGCCCTTTTATATCAACTGTTTACTGTTCTAGCAATTTGGCCCAATTTTTCAACTTTTTACGTTACTAGAAATTTGGTCCTTATATCAATGTTATGTTATACAACTGGTCCATAATCAACGTTATGTTCAGAAATTTGGCCCATATATCAACTGTTAGTTACTTAAAGCAATCTGGTCCATAAATCAACTGTACTGTTACTTCCTAGCAATCTGGTCCTTATCAACGTTCTGTTTATTCCAGCAATCGGCCTTATATAAACTGTTACTGTTACTACAATTTGGTCCATATATCAACTGTTACGTTACAGCAATCTGGCCCTTATATCAACTTTTAACTTTTTTATAGAAATCGGTCCTAAACAACTGTTACTTTTACTACATGGTCCTTATATCAACTTTTTTCTTTTACAGAAATTTGGTCCATAATCAACTTTAAATTTCTAAAATCGGGTCCTTATATCAACGTTCTTTTTACAAAAATCGGGCCCTTTATATCAACTGTTACTGTTACTACAGTCGGGTCCTTAAAAAACTTTTACTGTTATGCAATCTGGTCCTTAATCAATGTTACTGTTACTAGCATCTGGCCTATATCAACTTTTACTTTTCTAGCAATCGGGTCCTTATACAATTTACTTTTATACAATCTGGTCCTTATACAACGTTACTGTTACTCGTCGGGGTCCTTATATCAACTGTTACTGTTACTAGCAGTTTTGGTCCTTATATCAAGTTTACGTTACTACAATCTGGCCCATTATCAACGTACTGTTACTAGAATTGGTCCTTAATCAACTGTTTTTTTACTAGCATCTGGTCCTTATATCAACTGTTTACTGTCTATTTAAAAAACTGCCCCTGCTGCATGCAGGAGCAAAAAAAAGGGATATTTTCCCTCACCCCCTGCCCTCGGGTGTGTGTGTAAGAGAGCCCCCTATCTTTTTGGAAACCCCCCACTGCCCCAAAACTCACTAAAACGCACCCCCTCCCCCCCCTCCCCAAACTCCCCACAATGGGGAACATTTCCCATTTCCCCAAAACTAAATCACACAACCAACGTATTACCCAATTATGTATCCTTGTACCACTGTTATCCCTCTAGTATACCTTTTATCCTGGTCTATCCACCCTATCACCAGTGGATAATCTTCCACGTCCTGATCATATCTCCCACTGTTCTTGCCCTACAGTTGTGTACTTCTTGCTACATTAAAGTACATGCACACGATATTAGGTACCTAACCTGATTGTAGTGGCAGGGTCGAGTCATAGCTCTTGTCCCTCTGTGTTGATATTAGGTGTGGGCTTCAAACACTGGTTTATGTGCACTCAAAGACACACTACGTAAGAATGAGTGATATATATGCGGTGTATATTTTTATTATTATATAATTATTATTATCATTATCATTATCATCAAATTATCATCATTATACTAATAATAAGACAAACGATAGTACTATAAGGGAGGCGACGATCCCAATGTAAACAAAAGAACAATCCTGGAACTTTGACCCTCAGTACCCACCCGGGTGGCGTCCCCAAGCTCATCCCGTCACCGATAATATAGATAAAAGGAAGGAGAGGTGAAAGGGAAAAAAATTTTAATGCCTTGAGTTAAAGAGCCGCCAGGATAGTGGTCGTCCCTGAGCGTCCGCCAGCGGGGCGCAGGGAATGCGTGCTGGCGCGCGGGGGAAGTTGTCGCGCCGAGCTGGGAAGGCGACTCACCGTCCTCTTGATGGTTCAGTCGGCGCTGAGCGCTGATGGGGGGAGGATGTGTTACTACATCCTCTGCGATTTTTCGAGTACATATGCCGTGAAGAGCTTTTCATCCAGGTTATTGGAGCTTATTTATCTTGATTAATCCTCTACATCAGATAGATAAACAGCTCTATTCACTTGATTAAAGCTCTAAAAGCAAGCAATAATTGGTAAGTACTTTCACTAGTAGGTAATGGAAGCTCCTTCAGTAAGGTACTGGAAGCTCACTTCAGCCAGGTACTCTAGATAGGTACTGGAAAGCATCACTTCAGTAGGTACTGGAAGCTTCACTTCAGTAGGTACTGCCGAAGCTCAATTCAGCAGGATACTCTAGATTGGTACTGGGAAGCTCACTTCAGTAAGGTACTGGAGCTCATTCAGTAGGTATGTTGATAGGTAATGGACAGCTCACTTCAGTTAGAGTACTCTTGATAGGTACTGGAAAGCTACTTCAGTAGGTACTGGAAGCTCACTTCAGTAGGTACTGGAATCTCTCTTCTGTAGGTATGGAAGCTCACTTCAGTAGGTACTGAGCTCACTTCATGTAGTTATGGAAGCTCACTTCAGTAGGTACTGGAAGCTCAATTCAGTAGGTACTGGAAGCTCACTTCGTAGGTACTGGATGCTCATTCAGTAGTATTGGGAAGCACTTCAGCAGGTACTCTAGATAGGTACTGGAAGTCACTTCAGTAGCTTATCTAGATAGTACTGAAGCTCACTTCAGTAGCAGTAGGTACTGGAAGCTCACTTCGTTGGTTTGGAAGAAGCTCACTTCAGAGGTACTTCTAGATCGGTTCTGGAGCTCAACTTCAGTAGGTACTCTGGAAGGTACTGGAAAGCTCATTCAGAGGTTCTCTAGTTAGGTACTGGAAGCTCACTTCAGCAGTTACTTAGATAGGTAATGAAGCTCACTTTAAAGGTTTCTAGATAGGTACTGGAAGCTAATTCAGCAGGCTCTCTAGATAGGTACTGGAAGCTCTCTTCAGCAGGTACTCTAGATGGTACTGGAAGCTCACATTCAACAGGTACTCTACGATATGTTACTGAAGCTCATTTCATCAGGTATCTAAATAGGTACTAGAAGCTCACTCAGAGGTTCTCTAGATAGGTACTAGAAGACTCATTTCAGCAGGTACTCTAGATAGGTCCTAGAAGCTCACTTCAGCAGGTACTCTAGATAGATACTGGTAAGCTCACTTCAGTTAGGTACTCTTTAGGTTAACTGGAAGTTCACTTCAGTAGGTACTCTAGATATGTAACTGGAAGCTCACTTCATCAGGTACTATAGTTAGGTTACTGGAAGCTCACATCAAAGGACTATAGTTTAGGTACTGGAAGCTCACTTCAGTAGGTATCTAGATAGGGAGACTGGAAGCTCACTTCAGTAGGTACTCTAGATAGGTTACTGGAAGCTCACTTCAGTAGGTTACTATAGATAGGTACTGGAAGCTCTCTTCAGTAGGTACCTTAGATAAGGTACTGGAAGCTCACTTCAGTAGTACTCTAGATGGTTACTGGGAAGCTCACTTCAGTAGGTACTCTAGATAGGTACTGGAAGCTCACTTCAGTAGGTACTCTAGATAGGTTACTGGAAGCTCACTTCAGCAGGTATCTAGATAGGTACTAGAGCTCACTCAGCAGGTACTCTAGCTTAGGTTACTAGAAGCTCACTGCAACAGGTGCTCAAGATAGTACTGGAAGTTCACTTCAACAGGTTCCTCTAGATAGGTACGGAAGCTCACTTCAGTAGGTACTCTAGTTAGGTACTGGAAGCTCACTTCAGCAGGTACTCTAGATAGGTACTGGAAGTCACTTCAAACAGGTACTCTAGATAGGTACTGGAAGCTCACTTCACAGGAACTCTAGATAGGTATGAAGCCTCACATCAGCAGGTTACTATAGATAGGTACTTAGGAAGCTTCACTTCAGCAGGTTCTCTAGATAGGTACTAGAAGCTCACTTAACAGGTACTATAGATAGGTACTAGAAGCTCACTTCAGAGGTACTCTAGATAGGTACTGGAAGCTCACTTCAACAGGTACTCTAGATGGTACTAGAAGCTCACTTCTACAGGTACTCTAGATAGGTACTGGAAGCCACTCAGCAGGTACTCTAGATAGGTAATAGTAGCTCACTTCAGCAGGTACTATAGATAGGTACTGGAAAAGATCACTTCTTTAGGTACTCTAGATAGGTACTGGAAGCTCACTTCAGTAGGTACTCTAGATAGATACTGGATGCTCACTTCAAACAGGTTACTCTAGTAGGTACTGGAAGCTCACTTCAACAGGTACTCTTGAGATAGGTACTGGAAAGCTCACTTCAACAGGTACTATAGATAGTTACTGGAAGCACACTTCAGTAGGTACTCTAGATGGTACTTGGAAGCTCCTTCAACAGGTACTCTAGATAGGTACTGGAATCTCACTTCAAAACGGTTACTTTAGATAGGTTTCTGGAAGCTCACATCAACAGGTCTTATAGATAGGTACTGGAGCTCTTTATGCAGGTTTATTGATTGGTACTGGAAGCTCACTTCAGTAGGTACTATTGATAGATATGGAAGCTCACTCAGTAGGTACTCTAGATAGGTACTGGGAAGCTCACTTACAAACAATATTATGTTTATTTTCTACCAGTACACGATACATGATTATGTCCAGTTTTGACAGGGATGTGACCCACACAGTCACTAACACCCAGGATGTGACCCACACCAGTCTACTTAACACCGGCTGTGACCCACACCAGTCCACTAACACAAGGTGTGACCCACACCAGTCCACTAAACACCAGGATGTGAACCCCACACCAAGTCCACTAACACCCAGGATGTGTCCCACACAGTCCACTACACCCAGGATGTGACCCCACACCAGTCCACTAACACAGGATGTGACCACACCAGTCCACTAACACACAGGATGTGACCCAAACCAGTCACTAACACCAGGGATGTGAACCACACCAGTCCACACACCAGGAGGTGACCCTCACTAGTCCACTATCACCCTGGTGTGATCCCACCCAGTCAACTAACCACAGGATATTGACCCACACCGTTCCACTACCACCCAGATGTGACCCACACGGTACACTAACTCCCAGGATGTGACCCACACCAGTCCTCAAAACACCCAGGTTGTGAACCACACCAGTCCACGAACACCAGGATGTGACCCACGAACAGTCCATAACACCCAGGGATGCCACCACACCAGTCCCTAAACACCTGGTTTGGACCCACACAGTCCACTAACACAGGATGTGACCACACCCAGTCACTAACACAGGTTGTGACCACACCAGTCATACTAAACACAGGAATGTGTCCCACTCAGTCCACTAACTAACAGGATGTGTACACCTCACCAGTCCTAAACACCCAGGATGTGACCCACACCAGTCCACTTACACCCAGGATGTGACCCACACCAGTACACTAACACCCAGGTTGTGACCCAAACCAGCCATTAACACCCAGGATTGACCACACAGTCCACTAACACCTGGATGTGACCACACCAGTCCACTAACACCCAGGATGTGACCCACTCCAGTCCACTAAACACCAGGATGTGACACACACCAGCCACTACACCAGGATGTGACCACACCAGTCCACTAACACCAGGGGATGTGACCCACACGTCCACTAACACCCAGGTATGTTGACCACACAGTCACTAACACCAGGGATGTTTGACCCACACCCAGTCCACTAAACACCAGGATGTGACCACAACCAGTCAACTAACACCAGGATGTGAACCCCACACCTGTCCACTAACACCCAGGTTGAGACCACACCAGTTCAACTAACACCCAGAATGTGACCCACACCAGTCACTAAACACCCAGATGTGACCCATCATACCAGTCCACCGAAAACACCGGATGTGTGTCCACACAGTCCACTAACACCCAGGATGTGACCCAACCAGTCACTAACACCCAGGATGTGACCCACACCAGGTCCATAACCAACCCCCACGGATGTGACCCACCCAGTCCACTAACACCCAGGAGGTGACCCACACCAGTCCAATAACACCCAGGATGTGTACCCACACCTGTCCACTATACACCCGGAATGGACCCAACACCAGTCACTAACACCCAGGTTGTGACCCACACCAGTCACTAACACCCCAGGATTGTTGACCCACAACAGTCCACTACACCCAGGATGTGACCCTCATCCAGTCCATAACCCCAGGATGTGACCCACACACGTCCACTAACACAGGATGTGACCCCACAGTCCATAACACAGGATGTGACCCCACCAGTTCCACTAACACCCAGGATGGACCCACACCAGTCCACTAACACCCAGGATGTGACCCACTCGGTCCACTACACCCAGGTTGTGACCCACACCCAGTCCACTAACACCCAGGATGTGACCCCACACCTGTCCACTAACACCCAGGATGTGACCCACACCAGTCCACTACCTCAACCCAGGATGCCACTTCAACACCGTCCACTAACACCAGGATGTGGGACCACACACCAGTCCACTACTAACACAGGATGTGACCCCACTCACCAGTCCAAATAACACAGGGATGTGACCCCACCAGTCCCACTAACACAGGATGTGACCAGCAAACAGTCACTAACACCCAGGATGTGACCCACACTTGTCCACTAACACCCCAGGGATGTGACCCACTCCAGCCACTAACACAAGGTTGTGACCTACACCAGTCCACTAACAACCAGGATGTGGACCCACACCAGTCCACTAACAAGGATGTGACCCACACCAGTCACTAACACCCTGGATGTGACCACACCAGTCATAACACCGGATGTGACCCACACAGTCACTAAACACCCAGGATGTGAGCCACACAGTCCATAACACCCAGGTATGTGACCACACCAGTCCACTAACACCCGAAGTGGACCCACAACCAGGGGTTCCACTAACACATAGGATGTGACCCTCACAGTCCACTAACAACCCAGGATGTGACCCCACACCAGTCCACTAATCCACCCAGGATGGTGACCCACACCAGTCACTAACACCCAGGATGTGTGACCCACACCAGTTCACTAACACCCAGGAAGTGACCCACACAAGTCCACTAAAACACAGAATGTGACCCACACCAGTACATAACACCCGGATGTGACCCACTCCAGTCCACTAACACCCAGGATGTGACCCATCCAGTCCATATCACCCAGGAGTGACCCAAACCAGTCCACTAACACCAGGATGATGACCCACACCAATCCACTAAAACAGGGCTGGGACCCAACCAGTCCACTAACTCACAAGGTTGTGACCCACTCCAGTCCACTAACACCCAGGATGTGACCCCAACACGAGTCCACTAACCCAGGGATGTGACCCACACCGTCCAATACACCAGGATGTGACCAACTCCAGTCCATACACCAGGATTGTGACACACCAGTCACTACCACCAGGATGGGACCCACACCAGTCCACTAACACCCAGGGATGTGAACCCACACAGTCCACTAACACCAGGAATGTGACCCACACAGTCCACTAACACCCAGGATGTTTTTTGACCCACACCAGTCACTAACACCTGGATGTGACCAACCAGTCCATAACACCCAGGATGTGACCCACACCAGTCCATTAACTCCCCAGGATGTGACCCACACTGTCACTAACACCAGGATGTGACCCACACCAGTCCACTAACACCCAGGATGGACCCACACCAGTCCACTACACCCAGGATGTGAGGAGGGGGCCCCCCCCCCTCCCACACCAGTCACTAACACCCAGGATGTGACCCACACCGGTCCATAACACCCAGGATGCCACCCACACCAGTCACTAACACC